CCAACAAGAGAGGACATCTCCCTCGGCTGCAAAGTACAATGTTGCACTTTCTAATCACATGGATCCCGGGAATTAAAACCTTTTGCAAACATTTTGAAACCGTAATATATATGTATATCTCTATATAAATATATTTTGCAAAACAAATTTAAACGATTGAAATCGGCTGCCGGCAACTTTGGTTTCCATTAGAGAGAATGCATCCCCGATCTTTCACTTTGTCTGACAAAGGGGCTGATCCTGTCACTATGATCACCCACTCAGATGAATTCTCAGACTATCCCAACATACCCAGGTTTTGGCCCACTCTAAAGATCTCACTGATTGGCATATCAAAGACAGCCCAATCCGACACCTAGTGCAGTATCATAATCGAGTCTAGGGGTCAAGTGTAACATTCCAGTTTTGCCCACTAATCTCCAAGGTCCAGGGCAATACTAGAATTCTGGTCTGGTTCAGGGTTTCAAGTAAACCCACACTGCATGTACCTCGGGTCTCACCCTGGTAATTGAGATAGGCTATCCCAACCAACTTGGCGGCACATCAGTGTCAGCCTTGGCATGATAGATCTCCCCAAATCAATCCAACGGTTGTGAAGATTTTGAACTAACACGAGTCTCATATGTGTCCAGTTTAAGGGTATTACACAGAAACATACCACAATAACATGAATCAAATATGTACTTTATTCATTTACAATAAATGTCATAATGTACATCATTCTGATTGGAGCTAAGGGCATACACTGTCTAACATCTCCCATTTGCACTTAGGTCCAATCTGGTATAAGCTGGAGTCCCATACTTTCCACATGTTTCTCAAACACTTTCTGTGTCAATGGCTTAGTCAATAGGTCTGCTACATTCTCCGCTGATGCTACCTTCTGAATCAGGACATCCCCGTTTCCAACTGTCTCCCGCAGTACATGGTACTTCCTCTCGTTGTGCTTTGACTTTGAGTGGGTCGTGGCTCCTTAGCCTGAGCGATATCTCCATTGTTGTCACACAACAACGGAATGGGTGATGTGCTGGATGGAACTACTCCCAATTCATGAATGAACTTTTCATCCATATGGCTTCTTTAGCAGCTTCACTTTCGGCAATGTATTTGGCTTCGGTTGTGGAATCCGCTGTGGACCCCTGTTTGTTGCTTTTCCAGCAAACAACACACGATCCTATCGTGAAAACATACCCAAATTTAGACTTTCTATCATCTGGATCTGATTGGAAGTCGTCATCAGTATACCCTTGGATCTGTAGTAAGCTACCATCGAATACCAGACAAAACTCTTTTGTCCTTCGAAGGTACTTAAGTATGTTTTTCACAGCAGTCCAATGCTCCTGCCCTAGGTTGGCTTGGAATCTATTTACCACACTCACTGCTTGATCAATGTCAGGACGAGTGCACAGAATGGCATACATGATGCTCCCTACGGTTGAGGCATAGGGAACGTCCTTCATGCCCTCAATCTCCTCGGGCGTCTTGGGAGACATCCCCTTTGAGAGAGTGACTCCATTTTTGAAAGGAATATTTCCCTTCTTGGAGTTCTCCATGCTGTATCTCTTGACTATCTTGTCAATGTAAGCAAATTGGGATAATTCTATTATCCTCTTTGATCTATCTCTATAGAGTCGAAGACTTAGTATATACGAAGCTTCTCCAAGATCTTTCATGGAGAATTGCTGTGAAAGCCATACTTTCACTGTAGTCAGCGTTCCTACATCATTTCCAATGAGTAGAATGTCATCCACATACAAAACCAAGAACGTGACCTTATCCCCACTAGATTTCCTATAAACATTGGGCTCATCCGGATTCTGCTCAAAGTCAAACCTTTTGATAGTAGAGTCAAACCGGATGTTCCAACTCCTAGAAGCTTGCTTAAGTCCATATATGGATCTATTTAATTTACATACCATGTGTTCCTGACTTGCAGCTATGAAACCTTGTAGTTGCTGCATGTAGATATCTTCAGTAAGATCTTCATTCAGGAACGCAGTTTTGACA